CAGGGTCGGGGTGGTCTCACCTTGTCTCTCCAGATCAGCCCTCCCATACTTGCACAGGCTGAGGATGTGGCTCTGACAGGAGATGGAGAGGAGGTGCTCCAGGATCCCCGTGATGGCCTTCTTGCTGGTCAGGGCCTTGCTGACTAGCTCTGCTAGCGAGGATGGCCGTTGGAGCTCCCAGCGCTGCCTCTCCATATCAAAAGATACGAGGTCTCTGCCGCCCTCCCCAACATGCGTGAAGCCCCAGCTTGTCCTATTGGGGTGCAGCACACAGCCCGCACGGATCTGGACCACCAATGGGTCTGTCAAGGGCAGAGCCAGTTGAGAGGTCCTGTGAGCATGTTGGACATGGGTGGCATGGGGCAGAACATAGCTGGAAGCATGTGCAGGGGTGTGATGGGCAGCAGGGTGCAATGGGCAGGAGGGCATGGGGCCAAGCTTCAGGAAGCCCCAGGACACCCTGCAAGCCCTCAGTCCCCTTGGAAGGTTGGCGTGGATATCGAGCCAGTTGGCACGGACTGGTTGCTGAATCAGAATGTTGTCACCCATAGTATTTGCCCCCAAATTTCTCTTTCTGTAATCTGTGCCATGCAGCTCCTGCAGCTCCAGTAAATTTGGTGGCAGCTTCCCGATGTGCAGAGGGGTTTCTCCATGCCTGATGGCAGGAGCCCTGAGGGGTGTTTTTGGTGCGCTGCCCTCCCCGCCCCTGCTCACCATGTGCCCCGTCAGCTGCAGCATTTCCCATGACCCTTTCAGGAGCTGTTCTACCCTATGAGACCCCACAAATGCCACCCCAGTGGGGAAGAGGGCACAGCTGGAACCCAAGGAAAGGGACTGGGGCTCTGGCTGGGGTTGTCCTACTCACAGTCCAGTTGCGCCTGCTGGGCGATTTCATGCACGAATCGGACCATATTGCGCAGAAAGATTTTGTAGTGGGACATGATCGTCTCTGCATCACCCTCGTCTGTGGCCTGGCGGGCCCAGGGCCAGTGGAAGTGGATGCTCCAGTAGGCAGGATCCAGCACAAAGATGGGCAGGTCCCCTAGGAAAGCCACCATGGATACCTCGGCAGAGCTGATGTTGGTGAAGAGGTTGGTCTGGAGCAGCTGAAGAACCTGTGACTCTGCTGGGAAAAAGGATGGGGATAGGAAGGGCTGCAGGAAACAGGAGATGAGTGGGGGGCTGGAGAGGAAACAGGGGATTCAGACCAGATATAAGGAAGAAATTTGTTATGATGAGGCTGGTGAAACCCTAGCACAGGTTGCCCAGAGAGGTGGTAGAAGCCCCATCCCTGGAAACATTCAAGATCAGGCTGGACGGGGCTCTGAGCAACCTGATCTGGTTGATGTCGTCCCTGCTCATTGCTGGAGGGTTGGACTAGATGACCTTTAAAGGTCCCTTCTGACCCAAACTATTCTATGCTCTTCACCCCACACCAAGGGGACCTCCAGCAGCCTGCAGCTGGCCCTGTCTGGGCAACCCCTCAGCCATGTCTTCGGTGGACTCCCACCTCCTCGCTCCCTTCAGGGTTGCTTTCCTGTTTGAACTTCCTCTGCCCCCACTGCTTTTTTTCCTTCTCTATTTTACTTTCAGCAAGGTATTTCTCTCCCATATATCATTTCAGGCACCTCGTCCCCTCCTGCCTTCCTTCTGCCCAGCACTTGCTGTCTGGCTGTGTGGAGCAGATGGTGGGGGGCACCTCAGTGCTTATTTGGGGTGATGATCCCCTCAGAGAACCACCTGTGCTAGGAGCTGGATCTGCCAGAGACCTGCACACAGTTCAGAGGACTTGGAGGATGGAGGAGGGGAAAGGGCATTTCACCCTGGTCTGGGGGCTCGTGAGCATTGGGAGCTCAAGGAGACCAAACTCTGACAGGGGCAGGAGAGTAGCCCAGCCCAGAGATCAATCCAGTGTTCCAATGTCTGCTGCTGTCCCCCCGGAAATGTGAGGTCTCATGGGGTTGTGGTGAAACGCTCTGTGCAACGGCAGAGCTCAAAACACCCTCTCGCAGGTGCAGCTCCCCAACAAACAAGAGTCCACTGGAAGGTGCCCACAGCCAGAGGTGGAGCTGAGACCCCCCTGGCACCCAGGGGCTCCCTGCAGGAGAAAGGTACCTTTGGGGGATGCCCAACACCCAAGACCTGGCTGGAAACCCCGGCCCCACTTCTGCTTGGGTGCCTGAGCCCACGTGTTGGAGCCAGTGGGGCATGAAGCCCCAAGCTGGAGGCAGGAACAAGGAAGGTAGGCAGGGACAGGGCACCTTTGGGTGCTGTGCAGGGGGTGGGGGTGGCCCTTTGATACTGGGAATCATCCTTCCCATGCAGGGGACGGTGGCCTGGCTGTGCCTCCCCTGAGGAACTGTGGGGTCCAGTGACAGGGGAGTGAGAGCGGTTGGGGGGAGCCAGGGCTCCCACTTACCCTCTGGGTCTGCCCATGTCCCAGGGAGGAGGAGGGGGAGAAAGAGGAAGAGGTGAGGATGCTGCATGGTGCACGCAGCCAGGCCGAAGCAGCAGCACTGACTGCAGGAGGAGGAAGTACCCGTGGGGTCCCAGGCTCCAACGCAGCTCAGCACTCACAGCTGTGGCTCTCCGCCAATTGGGCTGGCTGCAGATGTGTTGGGAGGGCCCCCAGAGGTCCTGAGCTGCGGGCTGGGGCCGCGTGGGAGGGAGGACAGCTGAAATAAGGTCTTGAGCATAGAGTGTCAACAGGCTGGGGCTGTGGAGAGCCCAGCTGGGAGGAGAGGGCAGGGAAACGGAGGCCCAGGAAATGGTACTAAGAGAAAAACAGGTGCTCGAGGAGCTGAGCTGGATCCTCCTGACTGCCTCTCCCCACCCATCGCCATTCTTGTGGGATGTGTTAGCTCCAGTGGAGGTGATGATGGCTTTTGGGTTTCAGCCCCAACTGGAGAAAGACAGCCGCTGTCCTCTCAGGCCCACACGAGGAGAAGGGCTGCTTTGGGCTCCCTCTGACACCTCCGGCTCAGGCTCTTCCTGCACCACCTGCATAATCCTGGGGATGGGGTTCCCCAAGGAGGAAGCGACAAGCAGTTCCTGCCCAGCCCACAGCTGCAGGAACAGTGCTGGGGAGCTCCAACTCTCCTGTAAATGCCCCCAGGAGAGGGCCTGAGGCTGAGCTGCAGCCTTGCACTCCCCTTCCCATCATCTTTGGTGTGGAACCCTGTTCCCTTCCTCAAATGCCCCCTGGGCATGGGAAGAGGAATGCTGCTCTGTCCCCATTGTCACCAGTATCCAGCACTGGAGGGACAATGGGGTGATCAGAGCCAGCCTTGCCCCCACAATGTCCCCTACCCTCTGCTCCTCCCTGGGCATCCCCTGGTGCCTCTCCTTACCCCACATTTTCTCTTCCCCTTTCCTGGGGGTGCCCGCATTGGGGGCACAGGCAGAACCGAAACCACAGCCAAGGGGAAGTTTGGGAGGGGAGGCGTGTCCCAGTAGCCTCCAAACACTGAACCCCTTCCCTTCCGTGGAGCTGTCCCATGGAGAAGTAGGGATGCTGTGGTGGTCTGGCAGGCCCAGAAATGGCACCAATGATCCCACTTCCCCAGCAGCTCATTTCAGCATCACCCAGGGGATGTTTAGCCATTGCACCACAGTGTTCACACTTCTGGTCTTCCCGTGCCCTGCAGGTAACATTGGTCCTTGCAGTCCCCTTGGGTGGCCATTGGTCCTTGCAGTCCCCCCTCAGGTGAGGGCTGTAATCCCTCCGAGCCCAGAGGTGGCCCTGCGTGAGTTGGGGCAGGGCTGCAGTGCTTCTGCGTGCTGCACTGGGTATGTAGACATGAGCACCCAGTGGGCTAGGGCAAAATGCCTGAAGACCTCTCAGAAAACCTGTCTCTGTGTGTATGTGTTATTGTAGGGTCTCTTTGGGGCTGTGAATAAACACTTGCAGACACCTCCCCGGTTCTGGGTGTTTGGGTGCATGTTATTGTAGAGGCTCTTAGGAGGTCATGCACACATCTGCCTTTTCTTACCAGGTTTGCTCACCAACTGCATCTGCTCTCCAGGTTTGGTGGGTAAACTTCATCTTGCCATGTCCTTTGAGTGCTGCAACGTGTTTCATTCTGTTTGGGAGATGAATTGCCCTGTGTGCCCTGTAGGTGCTGAGGCTGTGGGCTCCCAGCCCCCACTGAGCCCTGCCTGCAGCTGAAAGTTTCATTTGTCTGTCCTAGCTCAGGAAGGAATGTGAGAGGTTCTACTTCACTTCTGCAGCAAGATCCTGGAGCCCTTTGGTGCCAGCAGGTGACTCTGACTGTCAGGGAAATTCAGTCCTGCCCACAGCACTGTGGTTCACAGGGTTTGGCCAGGGGACAACCAGCCCTGGCAGAGTTGTGGTGGATGTGGCCACAGGCCAGCCAGGTTTTCTTCTGACTCAGCTGATAGTTGGCTTGCACATGGCTGCCAGAGACTTTTCCTGTGAAACTTTGCCAGGAAGTTGTCCTGTGAAACCAACCCTTTTGAAGCCGCACATTCAAGTGTGTGGTTGATTGGCAGCACAAACTAAATTCCTTCCTATGCCTGTCTGAACTCCGCTGTCTCCGATGGGAGATTGACTTCCTTTTTATCCTTAATTGGGAGGCTTGTGGGCACTTTACCTCCCCATGAACAGTTGCTTATTTCCATGAAATATGTAAGAACGTGTTTGTATATACACACTTTTTTGGTTGTTTGTTTTTGCTTTGGTGTTCCCTTCAATTAGCACCAATAATTCAGTGGTACTCCAGGCTCCATTTGCAGCTGGTCAAAACCCCCCCGAGCCCATCCAAATCCTGAGGAAAGGCATGGTTCTTAGTGAAAACATGAATGTTTTAATTTCATTTTATACACATCTGCAGCTCCCACGGACTACATTGGAGTTTCGCTGTTACTCAGCACTTTGTAAAATGGTTTGTGGCCAGGTGCCGTTAGTCTGTGTGGAACAGTTCAGTCTCAGCACAAATATTTCTGGAACAGGGTTAATAAAGGTAGCTTTTAGGAAAAAATAGTAGAAAGCGACAGTAGAAGGGCACTGCTTACTGTCTACTGATAAAGTTGTTATTGTACCAAAACTGGGAGATAATTGCCACTGGGCATTCAGATGCCTAAAGAGCCTCAGTGGGTGGACAGGACATTACCATGAGGTAAGAGGTGATTGTGTGCCATGAGTGAGAAGGTCTCACTTGCAGCCTTGTCTGCTTAGCAAACTGAAGTGGGTCAGAAGCCTCCCAGGTTTCCCCCCTGTATTTCCAGGTCAAGTTGGTCTTGCACTTGGCAGTGCCCAGAATTTTATCAAAGCAGAAAAAGGTAAGAGTTTTTGTCTGTGTGAGTGGTAGAAGGACACAGGTCCATTGTCTCCCTGCTGGGCTAAGCTTCTTTGCTCAGGATGGAGTTCCTGGACTCTGATTCCTCCATCTGCTGGTGCTTTCTGAAATGAGAGGAGGATGGCTCATGGATACTCCATGGAAGAGACTTCATGGGGGTGCAGACAGCAGCCGCCCCCAAAGCAGAAGCTTTGATGCTAAGTGCAGCAAACCCCTGGGGCATTTCCTCCCTTCTCTCCCACTGCTGCTCCATGGGGCAGAAAGAGACTCACCTGCATCTCCACACCCAAATCGCGATGATGGCAGCCATGGCCATGGCTGCGAGCAGCCCAGCACTGAGCCCTGCGATCAGCACTATCTCTGAGTTCCCTGAGAAACACGATCAGAGGCTGCCATGAGATTTCCTGGCTTTGCTCCATCCTGTGGGGTAGGGTGACTGAGGACCCCCGTCCATGTCCCCACAGGTGGCACCTACCCCATGGGATG